TTTGCGGTACGATGTGTATGGCGGTGCTTCTGCGTGTGCCTTCTTGAATGCACCGTGCGGCGGGCTTCTCTTCTCCATGCCTTTGCCCTTTTGTGAGTGTGGGTGAGTGTGGGTGGCTGTCGACCTGCCCCGAGCATTGGGGTCCTCCACACACGTGAGGCTCATCTTGGCAGCCTCTCGCAGCGTCCACGCTTCGTGACAGGGAGCGAGGGATGAGTAGCGTGATTCCTCGTGCCATAGACCTGTCAACTTTTGAAGAGTTGGGGTGAAGCCAAGGGACAAGCGTGTGTGTCTTCACCTTCTTGCGGGAGGGCGCGCAGAGGTTGGTTTTCTTTTGTTACTTTGTTGTTACGGTGCCTGCGGCGACGTTAATGGGGGGTTTGTTCTCCAGAGGCATTCATTGTGCGATTTTTGCGTGTTTGGTGTCCAACGCTTTCAGCACCGCCGAATATGGTGTTGCGCAGGATCGGAATACAAGGATGTGCGAGGGCATCGTGTCGCTCGCCCGTAATAAACACACGCACAGTTTCAGCGCGTCTGACACGTCACGTTGTTCGGAACGGTCGAAATCACTTGTGGGACGTCACTTCATTTGCGGCGTCGGGACAGCGAGGGAAGCGGAGAGATATGCCGAGAACGCAATGCCACTCCATGATACCGCAGGCTGGCGGCGACAAGGATCAGAGAGTCTCTACTCAACATTGAGAAGTGTGCAGCGCTCTGATGATCCGGTTTGCTCTTTAGGAAATTTAATGTAGTGCACACCGTGTGGGCCTTTTTGCTGCGGATATGCAGAGGGGTGGTGTGGGGTGGAATTATTGTAGAGGGCAGCACGGACGCCGCCTGACCTTTATGGGAGGGATGCGTGGTGGTATTCCGTGCTTCCTTGCCTGCGTTGTCGCACTCATGCTGTGTGTGCGGATGGCCACAGTAGTGGAGCTGAATACGGTTCAATGTGTGTTGCTCACGGGGACTGCGCGACACATGTTTTTTGTTGGGCGGCCCCAAGGAGGGGCGCATCGCCGTTGCGTGCTTCCTGCGGCAGTCCATTACCCTGCGACTGTGCGTCCCGCCGTCCGCTGCGCCGCCGCAAGCCTTTGTCTTTGTGAGAAATGGGGAGCGTGACTGCTGTGGCGGTGGTCGAATGTTCCCGAATTGGTGCTTTTGGTGATCCCACTTAGAGCGCCGAGCAGCGAGGGGCCGCACACGCCCAGGAGGTGGGAGTGTGTGCTGCAACCGCACCTGCGATTTGCAGTCGGGATGTGGCATGTTTCTTTGTTATTTTTATTTTTGGTGATATGCGGGGCAGCGGTGCGCTGGCGTGTGCGGGCTGCTCATGGTTGCGTGTGTTGCCTTTCCTGCTGTTCTCCCGCTCAACTCCTTTGCGTGCGAAGGAACAAACTTTTTACGGGCGTGTGGTGGGGCCGCGTTCTTGTTTGTAAAAAAAGCCTTTCGCAGGCATAATGAGTCTGCCGTCCGTGCCACACGAGGCAGTGGGGAGTTTCCTGGGATTTATTGGCGGGGCGGCACCGCACCCATGCCGTGTGGTAGGTTTGTATTCCGCAATGCACGGTGAGGGGGATGTGCGGTGACAACTTCCTCCAGTGGAGCGACACGAGCAGCACGGGGAGCGGAGCGGAGGAGTAGTGGCTGCGTGCTCCCACGTGATATGTGAATGGCGAATGCAATATGAAAGGCGGCGTCACGGCACTCTTTTGCCTTGCACACCGCAGATATTTTCCATAAAGAATGCAAGTTGCACTCTTTTCTGTTGTGTGGGGGAACTTACCGTGATGCATCGCTGTTGTGCCGTGTGTTTTTGGGTGTCTGCATGTGGTCGCTGTTGCTGCAGCGAATTCTCCTCCCACTTTTGCGTGTTTGTGCCCGCGGTGATGTGCCCACGTCCTCTTGCAGAGTGTGTGCGGTGTCGGCGGTGTCACACGGGTGCGGGACCGTGGCGAGCGGTACGCGTGAGCGGACCCTCCGTGCGCACCACGTTGTTATTGTTTGCTCTCACCAACACTGTGCTGGGTGGATGGCACCCAATTGCCGTCGTTGTGGTGGTCCTCGTGCATCGAGTACAGTGCCGTCACACCGCGCGTATGGCACTCTTGTTTTGGCTGCCAGTAATTTCTGTGCGTAATTTCCTTTATTCTTATTCTTTTTTTTGGTTTGTGGTTAGTGTTCAGCTTTAACTCAATACAACCAAGAAAACAAGGAGAAACAATGCCTCCAAAGCAAAATAGAGTGCAAGGTGGCAATGCCAAGAGTCGAGCGTCTGCCGTGCCGCAGGGAGGTCAGAGGAGAGCGATTCAGGAATTTGAGGGTAAGAGAGATCAACCCTCTGCGACACACATAAGAGCGGAGGCGCAGCAACCACAGTGGACCACGTACAGCTACATAAAGGACATTCTGCTGGAGGGAAGCACTCTCAGTTACAAAATGAGGCTGAATGAATTCATTCGGAGCTACTTGGGCGATGAGTGGGTTGTGGAAAGAGATGGGAGCGTCGTTATGGAGATGTTCGTGTTGGGACCCACGGTGTTTATCCAGAACCAGCAGCTTCTTGAATTGATTTTTAATTTAACTGCGTACCAAGAGCTGAATGAGAGGAAAATACTATGGGAGGCTGTTTATAAGCTTCACCACGAGGGTGTGCATTTTCTCGATCAATGGGGGAAATATGAAGGAAAGAATACGGTCGCTCCTGTTGCAAGGAGAAAACTAAACGCAGCTATTTCTTATGTAATGAGAGAAGAAAGGCGTGAGGTGGAAGAAAGGCGTGAGGCGGAAGAAAGGGCAAGGCGAAGGCAAAAATTAGAATTGACCGTTGCCACCACGATCAAAGATGTGCTATTTAGAGGAAGAGTTCGCGTCATGGACATGCAATTGAATGATTTTCTTGTGATGGAGTTGGACGGCATGGGCATTTTGCCCGCCAATCAGAATGTCTTGCTGAGGGATTTTTTTATTTACCCCACGAAGTATATCCGCGTTACGTTTTCACTGCTCAAAATGCAGGAATCGGATCGTTACAAGAGGATGGAGAGGGCTGTGAGGGACGAAATGGATATGGAAGAGGATGTACGCAGGCTTTGCGAGAAAGGTGTGGACACTCTACTGAAGTGGTCATTAGCTGCCGAGGAGGTAAAGGCAAATGTTCATAACCTCACCAAACGTTTATTGGATGCAGCCTTCATTGGATTGATGAGCTCAATGACGATGAGTGCGCCAATTAAACTGGAGGGATTGTACGAGTCTGTGTACAATGCGAGGTGGCATCATGTCGTGGAACTTTCTGACGGCGAGGGGACGGGAATTTATGTGAGGGAAGGGGAAGCACCGCAGTCATGGACGTACAAGACAGTTGACGACACCCTCGAAAAGGATGACGGTGTGCAGCAATCCGGTGCACCGCGTCTCAGGCTGA